ATTATGAAACAATAGTATTGAGTTTTCTATTTGACATTTTAATAATTTTAATATTATTTTATTTTATAAAATTAAAATTAAATAAGTCAACAATTTTATTCCAGTTCTCCTGCCACAGTGGACTTAAGTGATTATGTCTGGACATTCAAGAACTGCTTGAATTTGATGTGAATCTCCACTGGTCAGTGCAGCTCCAAACTCAGCAAGATGTGTAGGATCATCTATAACTCTTTTATCAGCCTCAATGATCTGAGCCAATGACTCTCTGTGGGACGAGAGGATCATGTAATAAAAATGTACTATAGCCCATGGTTTTTCCAAAAAATGGCTCCAAAATCACCGCAAATTTTATTACACTTTCTGATACGTATCGATGTACTAATGCTATGTAGAAAGTTTGAGCCAATTCCAGGATTAAATTTTTGAGTTAGGGCCATGTAAAAATGAGCAAATTTCAGAAAATTTCCCTGTACTATAGCCTATGGTTTTCCAAAAAATCATTAATTCCAACAAAAAAAGACTATGCAGCATACCGTACAGCTGGTTAATTTTGAGGAGAAAAATTTTGCGAATCCTTAAAAATAACCTGGTTTGCGGATTAAATATTTGCGGTTTTGACAGTTATTGTAGCATTATCTACTGTGGTCATGCATGAATTTCATTATTTTGCGGATTTAAATTTTGCGCTTTAAATGGAATCGCAAACTCGCAAAATTTAATTCCCCGCAAATATTTCCTGCTGTACGGTATATTGCATACATTACACAGTTATACAAATGTCAATATACTGTACTATTCATACATGTACATGTTGTGGATAAGGTACAAGTACATGTACATACCTTTCAAGTGAGAGACAGTTCCCCAGTCATGGCAACATTCTGAAGTATTGGATGATCCATAGCCAGTGAGAGGAGGGCAGAGACTATAGTGACACCTGCTAAGGGACCATCCTTTGGGGTAGTACCCTTTAATTAATAATAATAATGATAATAAATTAATTAAGTGATAATAATAAATAATACTTTATTGCCGTTGTCATTAATGATAATAATAATAATATTAATAATAATAATAATAATGAAGTATTACCTGCCTCAGGAACATGGAGATAAATTTTTGCTTTGTCAAGGAAATCATTTGTAGGATCTTTTGAAAACAAAAATGACTAAAATAAATACAAAAGTACAATTTTACATAACATA